GTGGTCATGGACGCGGCTGCACTGATGTTGAGTGAATTTGGTCAGCATATATCGGACTCAAGCATGCCGTTGAATCAGAGAACTCGGAGAAGATGAGTTGAATTGTAACAGGAGGTGAGATGGGTTCCATTGAAGGGAATTCAAAGCATCACAGGAGGGAAACCCGAGCTTTAGGCCATCATGACCGGCGAGGCCGGCGAAGGTCCCATCTGGTGAGGCGAGAAGGGGATGAGGTTCCGAGAACCAGCGGACCTCAGTGTGGTTGTTGTGGTGGTCCGGGTCCGGTTACGCACGATCTGCAACATGATCAGTTTTCGATGCTCACTGCGCTCGCCCAGAGCTACAATGGCACGCTTGTCGTTGGAGATCTTAACCTGAAGGATCTCGATGTTTGACGTAAACCAGCACATCTGGTTGCCGTCACGCAGGCGCCAGACGCGGATAGACCCGTCCCAACTGCCCGACACGACGACTTCGTTGTCGCGTGAGATCGCTACGCTGAGCACCTGCAAATTCGCAGAAAAGGTAGACAGGAATGGAGCAAAAGAGTCTAAATAAAGAAGACAACGCCGTTAATATCAACAAAATCAACGGCCTCCGACGAAGAGGCAAGGCCGAAACTGAAGGCTCGCGAACATTCCAAGTGACATACCTCGACTACAGCATCTTGACCGCTTCAAAATAAAAAAACATATTCCTAATAGCATAAATCAGTAGTGTGTTGTTTTAGTTAAAATAAAAACTGATTTTACAATGAATAGGCTTGATTGAAAATAGTTTTTTCAATTTTGAATACATAAGGAGAGATAAAGAGACTTTTTCTCATGTTTTGTCTTTACCTTTGTGCAGTCAAGTAAGGAAGTGGGGAATAAAAACAGTTTTCAGTGAAACTACTACAATTATGCCCACTTTTAAAGAGAAAGTCGACCCATTATCCAGATCAGATTGCCACAAAATAGTGTGCTCATGTGGTCGCTTTTATGTTGGAGAGATTTGTCGTCCCATTGAAGAAAAGGTGGCTGAGAACAAAAGCGCCTGCACAGGCTGTTGGGTTCAAAAATCGGAGCTGGCTGATCACAGGGCAGAAACGGGAAACGAGAGTGAATGGTCTCAAACGTCGCCTTTTGCTAATTATGGCTAAACGTAAAATTAGAGAAGCCATTAAAATAAATCGCATAGGAAATGCATTGAATGTAAGGAATACCGGTAAGAAGATAAGTGAAAAAAAACGAGTGCCACTAGTCTTTTCTTAG